ATTATCTGTTTTTGTCTGAAAATCAAGAAATACAAGCTTTTTTTCTGAGGAATTGCTAAGCTCTTAAAGATAACAAAGATAACTTGCTTGCCAAATCAAATATAACAAGCAAAAGTATACAAAAAACTGTTACACGTGAACCCTTTGAAATTGAACCCTTGGTCTCATTCGACGAATAGGTGCTCTTCCTCTGCGAATGGGAGCTCTTCTACGGTTTGACGGCTCGTTTTTCGGAACAGCCATCGCACTGAATTTATTTGATTATCTCCGTTCTCACATATGATGCATTGTGTTTGCTCCATTTAAGTGTTTTACCTGAGAATCAGATTGAGATCCTTTTGTTGCTGATCCGTGAGTTCTACTATTCGACCATCACGAATAATAATGAGATTAGGTCTCGGGAAAAAGTTACTTTGGTGATTGGCATCAGCTCCTAGAGCGGGCAACCGTGCTGGAACTGACGCTCTTCTTGATGGCTGTAAGGTAAATCATTATTTAAAATATGGAAGATCCCCTGTCAAAAACGGACCTGTAGTCGTCTGGGTTGCACTACTGGTCTGCCTTGGACTGGGGTTCTTTTCGCGGAGACAGCCGCCGGCACAACAACATGGTTTATCACCTGTAAAGGAAAAAAAAATTCCCTTGCAAAAGTTCTGCTTTTTTGATAGAAACAAAATCTATAAATGTTGTTCTTGATCTCAAATTGATGTGAAATTTCATTTTTTTTCATTACAGCAATGCGAAATAAGAGAATTTATCTCGGACTCAAATAACTTAACAAGACCATTTTTTAATTTGACTTTTGAAATGTTTTTCAAGAAATCATGTGAGTTGGCTCAAACATCCAACTCAAAATCGACTTGTTTTCTGATTTACTCGATCATTTCGTAACTAGTGTTTAACAGCACATTCCTAGCAACAAAAATGTTTGTTTCATCGTCAATGATCAAACGACAGGAAATGACAACAAAGCCATATGCTCCATGCAAGAATCGCCGGAGAAGTATTGTAAGCACATAATAAAGTTTTTGAAAGGAGATGTCAATTATCTGCTTGGAATAGCGGGTACGGTCTTTTAGAACTGGGCCCATTTTTGACCGCGACTCGGACAAACATTTTAGAAGTTTCTGCATGGTTCGGATTAAAGATGGAGCGATTTCGGGTGAGCGAATCGTGCATGATATTTTTTAGTAGAAGAAAATTTTTAGTTTATTGAGATTTGAAATTAAATTCTGAGCTGCATCCACTGATGTTGATCGCAAATCAGATGACCATACCGATCTAAGACGTTTAAAGGGAATGCACCATATGCCTTTTATAGATTAATTACCTCCAAAAATATGTCGTAACATATACTTTAA